GAGAGAGTTACTTGATTGAGTGTTTGTTTTACGTTTTTTGAGCTTTTAGCTTCGTTACAAGTCTTATTTTTGCTTCGCGTTGGTTAGAGTTTCTAAATGTCATTTTTTAACGATGTCAATGAAAATTGTTTTTTGAATCTTGTTTTAGCCACTATAATGCACGATCGTGATCTAATTCGTCAGATGTGATCCATGTGAAACAATAATCATTTACTCACTGCACTTTAATTAAGGCATAGTTGTACTTCTATCTATAAAAAATGAACCTCGCGCGACACGTTACTATTTAAAAAATAATATTTCGTCGTACTTGGCAAAAAATGCACTAACCAAAAAAATTGGCAAAAACTATAGAATTTGTAATATAAATATAATGAAGAGTCGGTCTATGAAACTTAAGCACTAAAAAGCAAATCTCTTTCTCTCTCTCTAAACGATGGTTAGCAAGTGTAATCTAGTGAGTGTTCTAGGGGTATTTTTGGTATTGACATTGTTCCAAAATCCGATCACCGTCTCCGGCCAGAATGTCCCGGTGGTTGCTTTGTTCACATTCGGTGACTCCAACTTAGACGCCGGAAACAAACAAGAACTCACCAAAACTCTCGTCGCTCAAGGTTTCTGGCCGTACGGAAAATCCCGGGATAAACCCAACGGCAAATTCTCCGATGGCTTCATCACACCGGACTTTCTCGGTACTGTTTTTCTTTTGCCATTAATTTCGATCTTAAATCGAAATCTATAATAGTCTCCGAAATTTAGTTTCTAAAATGTTAATTACTGTTGAGTGTTGCATCCACTAGTGTTTTTTTATTTTTCGTAGAAGTTTCGAATCTTTAATCTGCTGTCATGAACCATTTCATAAAACATATTCTTTTCGAATGGTTGGCATACGGAATCATAGGAATAATGACTTTAAATGTATTTGAACTAGTGATTTTGAATACAAGGATAAGTTAATTATTAAAATGACAAAATAACTTTAAAATCACTTTTTTCACTGTTTCAAAAAAAAAAAACTTTAAAAACACTTTTTTAGAAAAAAAAGCTAGTGCACACATTTTTCAGTTTTTCAGCTGCTATGGACTTTTCGAACGCACATGGAAAATATGAATTTTTAATGTTTTCTATCGTTTGTGAAACAGACTCAAAGATGTAGTAATGAGGAATTTAGTTATATAAAAAGCTAAATATAATTTTTTTTTTACAAAAAAAAAATATGCAGCAAAATCCATGAGAATCGTGAACGAGATCGTACCGGCGCTTAAACCGAACGTGAATGTCTCACGTGGAGCTAGTTTCGCCGTCGCCGATGCTACTCTTCTTGGAACTCCGGTGGAATCTGTAAGTACGTTCACTTAATTTCTTAATTATTATTTAGTGTAACTATATATTAAACATAAATATATTGCTTTTAAAAACATAAATATATTATTCGTATTATTATGCATGATTATTCAAGGAACATTTATTATTTTATTATATCTGTCTTTTTTCTTGAATCGCATACTAATGCAGACTTTGTTTGCTTTTTTATGTTTTAGTATTATATGCATCATCCCATAAATGCAATTGTAATTGATTAAAATATTGTTTTGTTATCTATTTTTTCTTTAGTTGACTCTGAATCAACAAATAAGGAAATTCAATCAAATGAGAGCAAACTGGGACGATGAATTGATCAGGAAGTCACTTTTTATGATTTACATTGGTGCTAATGATTACTTAAATTTCACCAAGAACAACCCTAACGCCGATGCATCTGCTCAACAAGCTTTTGTTACTTCCGTGACCAACAAGTTGAAGAACGATATCAAATTGTTGTATGCATCAGGAGCTAGTAAGTTCTTGATCCAAACCCTAGCACCATTGGGTTGCTTACCGATCTCTAGACAAGAATACAACACCGGTTTGGATCAATGCTACGAAAAACTCAACGATTTGGCTAAACAACATAACGAAAAAATCGGACCTATGATGAATGAAATGGCTACATCCACTCCTGGTTTCCAATTCTCCGTTTTCGATTTCTACAATGTCATGCTTCGTAGGATGCAAAATAACAAGGATTACCGTAAGTTGGTCAATTATAAATAAGCGTATGCTATTAATTTTAAGCTCTAATACCATGTGAATACTCATACATAACAATTGGTTAAATTTTTTAGGGTTTTTCGTTACGAACTCATCGTGCTGTGGAGTTGGAACACATGATGCTTATGGTTGCGGTTTACCTAACGTGCACTCAAGGCTATGCGACTACCAACGGTCTTACCTATTCTTTGATGGGCGTCACAATACCGAGAAATCGCAAGAAATGTTTAGTCATCTTCTTTTTGGAGCAGATCAAAATGTTATTCAACCGATGAACGTTCGTGAGCTCGTGGTTTACCCAGTCGATGAACCAATGCGTGACTTTTGGGTGCCTCAAACATCAGAGAGTGTCTCTAGCTCATCGTCAAGCCGCGGTTACGAGGATTTATAAATCAATCATTTGGGATCAGTCGGGTTGTTTTACAAGGGTCATGAGTTTAGAACCGTATCAAAATGTTTTTAGCTTTTAACGTTTTTTGTTTTGTTTTCTCTAGTGAGTTTTTTCCTCTATAATAAAAGATTGATCCTTGCAACGATATTGAATTATTAATAATGAAATTGCTTTTGAACCCAAGTGGACCACGATCTTTAATTTTCTATTTTATTGTTTTATTTAAAATTATTAATACGTATACAATTATGTAACAATATAGTATAACGTTTATTTAATGACATTGAATTAACAATATTAAGCTGATTTTTAATTATAAAACGGATATAGTATCTTTTTACCAGTGGAGAAACTATATTACATTAATCAGTAGTTTATATAAAGTTTGTAGTATGATCTGATTTTGCAGATCATAGCAACAGAAAAATAATCAAATACGACTAAACAAAAGCCATGTGGTCATTAATTAAGTAATTACCTTTTATTTAAATAAGATGTGATCCAAATGTGGTTTTAACTTTTACTACATTAGTATTAAAACAATTCGCGTTAAATGGCAAGTGACAAGATAAAAATTGAAGTCTCATTAATCGAAGCCAACCACCTAACTTGACTTTATCCTCCACGTTCAGTCGTATTTAAATAACATTTTGGTTAAAATTTCGATAAATAATTTAAGTGAGAAAAGATTTGCATCGCATCACATATAGATCCGTCGAATATTGTATCATTTTTTACCGTACTTATATAATTTGAAAATCATCAGTGGTTTTAAGTATTCTACATTTGATTAATTAACTTTAAAGAATTAAAAACAAATTAATTTCTAGATAGCAATAACCGTAATTTAATCACCGTAGTATGGGTATTAGTGGGGTTCTCAACGAGTTTCCAAACACAGGACTCTTTCTCACTCCGGTGACTAATCTTTCGGTGCAACAAAAGGTAAACATAGAAGAGCCCTAGTAAGGGTTTTGAGAGCACGTGTTTCTTGTGTTCTAAGTAATTGTCTTGTGTTCTAACTAACTCGAGAAAGTCAGGATGATTCGAACCGGTGACAACGATATGGCTCTTTGGAGAGACTCAAGAGGTAAATTCAAGAAGCGTTTCTCATCTAAGGAAACATGGACCCAGATTCGTCATACACACCCTCTCTTCCCATGGTCCAAAGATAYATGGTTCAAATATGCAACGTCCAAATTCTCCTTCTTTATTTGGCTTGCAGCGCTTAATCGACTTTCAACGGCTGATCGAATGGCTAAATGGAACATTAACTCTTCGAAGCTATGTGTTCTTTGCTACCAATCAGATGAAGATCGAGATCATCTATTTTTTTTAATGCCCATACATCTCAGCGATTTGGTCCAATCTTTGCTAACCGGATGCTTGGGTCTCGTTATACCACACATTGGCAAAGTCTTCTTCAGCTTACCACGACTCATAATCAAGACAAGATCAACCTTTTCATGATGAAATACTTATTCCAACTATCGGCTTATCATATCTGGAGGGAGCGTAATGGTCGTCGGCATGGCGAACAACCAACTCCTTCCACAACTCTAATCAAGAACATCGACAAGGATATGCGTTGAAACAACCCGACCCATTTTTTTTTTAATAGCATCGAATCAGCATTTTCATAAATACTAACTCTCAACATGCTAAATTCTCAATCACAACAAACCAGCGGAAATCAATAAGCAATTTAACCAATCAAACCATCCAATAAATCACATACTTTACTGAACCAAACATCTCAATTCCATAATCAAACGAATTCATAACAATCTCAATTCCTCAATCCAATAAATCAACATAAACCAGTTCAACACATAACCAGCAACCTAGCGGTGCTACCATACAATAAACGGC